GGGAGCACACCTGATCCCCAACCACGTAGACTTGGGGGGGGGGGGAAGGAGCCTGAAGCCTTTGACCTGCACTGGGCTAGATCCCCCACCTGAGCTAGAGAGAGGAAGAGGTGCACAGCTGCCTTCTCCACTGCTCTCTTTTCCTGTCCTTTCTCTCTTTCTTTCCTCTGCTCTGTTCTCTCTGGGAAGAAAAGCTGTGCTCCTTCTCCTTGTCCCTCCCCACCTGAAATCCTTCCCCACAGACCCCCAGGAGCACAGCCCAGACTTGCCTTCCATAAATCATCCCCATCTCCCTGCCCACCCTTTGCTGCCCATGGCTCCCAGACACTCACATGTCACCTTTACACCCTCCTTCCTCATGGAGGCCAGCCTTCAAAGCCCAGCCTCTCCAGAAAGCTCCTGGATCTTTCCATCAGTTCCCCATTCACTCTTGACTCAAAGCTTTGGCCTCACCCCCCCAACACACCCCCTCCCCCCCCCCCCCAGCTCCCCTGCAGACCAGTCCGGCTCCCTCTGAGCCTCCTCAGTTTTGCCAGGCCCATACATACGTTCACTCATCTCAGTCTAGCCATCCTTTACCTCTCCCAGTTGGACACTCCTCATAGCCTCTGTTGTAAACTTTCTCTTCCCTCCCCAAACACCCCAACTCATCTCAAATTTCTCTAAGGTTTGGCATGGGTGGAGGAGAGTGGCACCACCATGTCCCCAGTCCTGGAAGCTGCTATGCCCCCCCACCCCTACCCCACAAAGCCCAAGACCCCAGGAGCTGGTTGTGCAGACTCCCACTGCACTGAGCTACAGTCCACTCCCCCTCCCCCCAAACCACTTTCAGAGCAATTGCTGTCTAATTAGACCTCATCCCGGATTTGTGAAGTCGGTATTTATTCTAAGGCAGCTGCAGGCCTGGTATCAGGCAGGAAGACCTGAGTTCATATATAGCCTCAGACACTTCCTAGCTGTGGGACCCTGGGCAAGTCACTTCACTAACGCCATCTGCCTCCATTTCCCCATCTTTAAAAAAAAAAAAGGCTAATAAGAGCACTCCCCTCCCCAAGTCATTAAGAGCTATTTGTAACATGCTTAGCAAAACTTAAAGCACTAGAGAAATGTTAACAATGATTAAGTGTAAGATTTGACATTCATTCCTATTGAGTTTCAAGAGATAACCTGTTGAGATGCTTTTGGATCCTGACTATCATCCAGTATCTTCATTATTTCTCCCAACTTCTTGCCATCTGAAAATGTGATTAGCAGACCCCTGGTAAGCCTTTATGGAAGTCATGGGTACAAACCCACAGTAAACAGCTCAGGGCCAGCCGCAGATCCCCAAAGCACCCCCTTCTTCAGGTTGACCTTGCATTCTTGGTCACCGTCCTTGAGTTCTGACCACTGAAGTTGCTCCAAACCCATCTCCTCGTACTGTGCCATAGCCAACATCTCTCCATCTTGTCCCCAAGAATAGGACGTGAGATTTGACCAACGCTCTGCTGAAATCCAGGCACCCTGTGGCCACAGCAACCCCATCTCCCATCCTAGTTAAGCAAGCTCATCCAAAGAGGGAGTGGGGTCAGTCAGGGCCTGGCCTGCTCTGGAGCAAGGCTTTTGGACTCCTTGAAATCACCACTCCCCTTTCTAGATCATCTCCTTAATTAGCCCTTTTGGGGATTTCCCCCTAGGAAACAAAAAGCAGGCTTCCTAGCTTAGAGTTTACAGGCACTCTGTTCTCTTCCCTCTTTTGAAAACCGGGACTCAGTCTACCATCGGGCAGTCTCGTGGACCCTCTCCCATTTTCCATCATCTTTCGAATCCCCCTCCAGAGTGCTCTGCAGTCCCCCCTGCCAGTTCTCTCGTCCATCTCTCCTCTGGACCAGATGACTTGAATTCAGTAGGGGCAGCCTGGTGCTCTCTCCCTCTCTCCCTGTCTGGGGCGTCGGCTGCATTTCTCTCCTCTGTCATGACCAGGCCAAAGGTCGTTCATTCTCCTTGACAGAGACCACAGAAGCCAAAGGCAGCTCGGGCAGCTGCTCCTTATCTCTGGTCTCTGGTGTCTGGTGTCTGGGAATCATGGTCCCATCCATCCCAAGCAGTAGTCACATCCCTTCTTCCATTCTCACCCTTCCCCCAAGAGAACAACAACAAACCCCAAGCTTTGTGTTGGCCTTGGCTTCCCTGGCCAGCCTCAGCTCATTCTGAACCTGAGCTTCCTGGTCACTTTGTTTATAGAACCCCACCTTCCCTCCATCTTCTGTGAATGCCTCCATTTAGAGGGCCTCAGCTCACTGCCTCTGCCTTTTCCAGTCTTCCACCTCACTTCCATTCTTGTAGTCTAGGATCCAGTGCCACAGGCCTGCTGGCTGTCCCTCCCACCCAACACTCCATCTCCTTACTGCAGGCCTGATCCCTGGCTATCCCCTAGGCCTGAAACACTCTCCTTCCTCCTCTCTGCTTCCTCCCTTCCCAGGCTTCCTTCATGTCTGAGCTAAAAGTTCACCTTCTCCACTGAGCCTTCCCTCTGGTGATTGTCTCCAACTTATCCTGGCTATATTCTGGTTATGCAGAATTGTTTGTATATTGTCTCCCCCACTAACCCCTGCTTTTGCCTTTCTTTGTATCCCTGGTTCTTAGCCCAGTGCCTGGCACAAAGTAGCTTGCTTAAGAAATGCTTGTTGACAAACGAATTTAAACTTTGCTTTTCCAAATCCTGTGTTTACAGAGCCATGCCATACTTTTCTCTTCCTCCTCCTACCTGCCCTGGCCTCCATCTGCTATATATGTCTCTTTAAAATTCCAGTTGGGTGGAGAGCTCCCTGTGCAGCCACATTGGTCCCTTTAGGCAAGTATTCTTTCTTTTTTCATCAGCCTTGTAGCTCCTTGTATCTTCAGAATTTCCTTCTGGAGAGCTTCTTGCCCCTCCTGGGCAAACTTGCTTGGAATTTTGGTCCATGGGATTCTACCCACCTTTCCTCTGAAACCTTCAAAATTGGCTCTCCCCAAATTTGGGATGTATGTCAGACTAACCCTATATTTCCTCTCCTTCTCTAGCACAAATCCTTCCTTTGGGGAAGAATGAACTTGAACTTCTTGAGCCTTACTTTTGTCATCTTCAAATGGGGATAATGCCCCCCCACGAGCTGGAAGTCAGCATGAGGTTAAAGCGCTCTGCAACTACCTCTCTTCCTCCTTTCCTGAAGGTTCCTCCTCATTGGGATCATTCTGAGGGTTTTGGCTGTAGGTGCTCTCTGGGCCTGGGGCCTCCTCTTTTGTTTGCCGACAGTCAGTAGTAAACACGGGAGGCACACTCCCCTGGAGCCATCCCCAGATACCAGCCCTGCCATGCCCACTGCATCTCGGCCAGGGACCCAGCCAGACACACCCCCTCACAATGAGCCACAGCTGACACCCAGAGACACAGGCACCTGGCCCCCATTTGGGAGGCTCTCACTTTGGCTGGGACTCCAGCAGGGCCAGGGCTATTCTGGGTATTTCTCTCTCTCTCTCTCTCTCTCTCTCTCTCTCTCTCTCTCTCTCTCT